TTGAGTTTTGAAAGTCGGTCTGCGTTAGGAGAGTGCGCGATCACTCGCGCCATCTAAATTGGCATTGAACTGTACCAGGTTATTATACTTTTTGCTCGTTGAGGTTCACTGGGCACAAGTGTAAACCGCTGAGTAATGGNCACCTCTAGACCGCGACTCTAACAGCTCGATCGCTCCAAAGCCGAAACCCTGACGAGAGATGGAAGAATGTTCTCGACAAGATCGTCCAAACCTAGGGACTGCTCTCTTAGTTGTGGAGTAATTGAGTTTTGAAAGTCGGTCTGCGTTAGGAGAGTGCGCGATCACTCGCGCCATCTAAATTGGCATTGAACTGTACCAGGTTATTATACTTTTTGCTCGTTGAGGTTCACTGGGCACAAGTGTAAACCGCTGAGTAATGGAAGCGGGCATGCCATTCAAGTAGCAATGTGAGAGATGGGACGCCGTTTTGGCTCTAACAGCTGGTGCTGGTGCAGGTTCTGGCTCTCTCGTTGCCCTCCCTTTTGAACACGCCCTGTTGTCGGTTATCACTCTCGTCGCGTCCAAGTCCTGCCGCTGCTGCTGCTGCTGTGTATGCATACGTGTGTCCACCTTTCGAATGTTTTAATTTGTTGGTAGAAACACACGCTGCTCCGTCTGGGTCCTATGCCTGTCTGAGTGCTGTTGTGAAGTGGCATTCCTCCCGTGTATTCTGTTGCTTACTATTTTCTGGTTTTGCCGATTGTCTATCTTCATGACCCCGGCCGGCGCGCCCCCAACACCCCATTCTATCTAGCATTGATGAGAGAACATTGGCATCCCCGAGGTTTCGTCGGTGGAATTCCTGCAAGCCGTCGACGCACCTGGCGTGCCACATCGTACACGAAACCTAATGGTTGGTGCTTCGTCGTGTCCACTGCAGTGTCAACCTTGGGACGTACGCCGCCACCAGCATGGAATAGTTAAGAAGTAGATGATGGAGCGTGTCTCCTCAGAGCAATTGCTCGAAAAGCCATTGGTGACCCAGGACATCATGGACAAAATCCTCATGACATTGTCGCACACATGCACCACCCAGCCATTCATTTTCACGGAAATATCAAACGGATTTGGATTCAAACCAATACGCATCCAGGTTTCAACCATATTTCTACTACTCGCTTCAAGACTACCTGCCGGTATGGCTCGACCCTCGGCCTACGCTGTTCATACTGAAATTGCCGCTGCGTCGCACTTACGCGTACTTGCCATTGGGTTTTTCACGCGGGCATTCATTTCCCACCCCCCTGCCTCACCTCTCGGTGTTTGCCGTCGGGTTTGGGTTCTCGTCGCTTGGCAACGACGTTGTAACACAGGCAAATCAATTCGTGCGCTCGGCAACCAGGTTACCGTTTCTTTTGTTGTCTCTGTTTTTTTGTTTTTGCGGTAAATTAGCCATAATGCGCTCGGCAACCAGGTTACCGTTTTTTTTACTGCCTCTGTTTTTTCGTTTTTGCGGTAGCTATAGTGGTGGTCGAATAGATCATGTTGTCCGGGGTCGATAACCCTTACTCCGCGCAAAGGGGATGATCGCACCACCTTGCGTTACATTGGTCGAGTACCCTCGAGGCAGTTACACAGTGTTTCTAAACTGTCTCTGGAAGTGAAAGCATCAGAAAATAAATGATCTCATATACAGCTGCCAATTCGTTCGCAAGGAAGTAACCACAAGATGCCGAACACCCTTATCAGGATGCAGCCCACCCTTCATGCGACTCGCCTAATACCTCACGGTGCTTCGCGCTTGATGATGTGAGGGCCTATCCGGTTAGAAGCCGGCGTGCTCCGTCCCTGCTTTGTAGGGACGCGGGGTCAATGGTCTAACGACTTCGGCATGCACGACCATGAGTACATCCCCCCCGCGTGCCTCACCCTCCTCAACCAAACACTTCGTACGTTCTTTTCCAACCACATGGTTTGGATAGCTCTACTTTGTCTCCAGGATACTCATACCAAACCTGCCCAACACGGCGCTGTGCACGTTCATAAATTTGTTCTTCACATTCACATTGTCCAAGGTGTCTTCCTCTTGCAGTGCCCCCCGTGGTGAAGCGCATCCCTTACCCCCTCCGGGGGGGGGGTCTTGCATACCTTACGCATATTTCTGCCGAAATCATGGTGTTGAATATCTCGGTGTAAATGAATGGTTGTCAGGGGACGAGATCAACCCTTTTCTGTGTGCTCTTCCCTCGCATCAGCATGCTTCCGGGTGTAGGCTGCCGCAATTCAACTGCGGCGAGTTCAACCTTGTTGCATCCCGACGACCCTGTTCCTGCGTCTCGCCTTCATTCGTGCTGGCTACTTGTTGGAAATTCTTCTCTTATTGTGGTAGCTTGCGCAAAAGCATGAAGGCCAACAAAGCAACCCCCACGGGCGACTGGAAGGAGGAGAGCACGGTGTTTGCCGACGTGGAACCCATGGAGCTACAAGGCTCATCCGTTCGGGTGTACGACTGCGCTGGACAGGTGACTAGTGTTGTTCATGCCGAAGCGTTTTAATGATCGGTGCTTAACGGAGGTGTTGCGTGAGACCGTCGCCCAGGAGCATTCGCTGTGCGCCTTAGATGCGAGTGATACTGTAGCGACTACGTGGAGGAAGTATTGCCAGAACAAGCGAAATCCTGCTCTCAATATCTCCAAATGCCTTTCAGCTTAACCTGCCCATCGAGAGTTGTCTCACGCGACACCGAATAAGTTCAAGTACCTGGTACTTCGTATATCATAGCATACACTACAGGACTTGCTTCACCACAGGCCTCCGACATGCATCACCCGGGTGGGGGACAGCACGGGTGTAGACTGCTTGGGGATCGCGTGGCTGTAATGAATTTTGTGCTCATCGGGGCACGGGCACCGAGTTTTGTCGAGGCGTTTGGCCTCCGTCGGGGGAAAAGGCAGACCGCCGACACCGTTTGGGTGCGTTAGTTTGGCAGGCCCCGAACAAATTGAGTCCTAACTTTTGTCTTTGGGAGCGTATCCTGGCGGGCCCCCTCAAGAGATGGCAGACGAAGAATTTTGATGTTGACTAGTTTTGAAAACAAACGCAAGAGGGCCAGAAAATGCACAACAGACACACACACAAAACCACTCGGAAGGCATCGCGAAAAAAATGCATCGTTGATTCTCGGAAAGGGCGGCAGTAGAGGCTGCTCAAAACAGATATTGCACGCGTCTACCTCCACACGCCTGCCTCCTTTGAACTCAAGCTGAAAATCCACACCATTCTAAATGAGTCAAGAGAGCCAAAACGGAAGGCGCTCAAACAGTGTCGATGTTGCCAGGAACTTGGTGCATAGTACTAATATCACTAGAGGACACCCTGTAAGAGGATACCCTGTAGTAGCGGGCTACAATATCCGCGAATCTCCGCCAAATGACGGACACCCAGGGTCTTGTACGCGTGCGCTCGCCGCCACTGACCCCAATCTCCTGAACTGCGGGTTGACAGCAGTAGGTGATGCCATTAGCTACTGCTGACAACCCTCCGTCCAGGGGTTGACCGTCCGTGGCGTGAGCACGGTTGTGACAAATGTTGGATTTCGCTTGGTTCCGGCGCAGATTCCGGACTGTTTCAGAGGCTGCTGCGACCTTCGATATTTCAGCTCCAGTAGCAGACCTGAACGTGCCAGCATGCACACCCCCTCTTGATGGTGTCCCCTACGGATATTCGATGTTAGTGCCAATTACCAGGTTCATCCGGCGGGAAGGTTGTATTCTTTCTTGATTTGAAGTATGAAGAAAGAGCCAGCGTAAAAAATCGTTTGTCTGCAGCCCACACAGCTCATTCGTAAAGGGTGTCCTGGCGGAGAGAACCCACGGCTTTGTTGTTGCATGTCGTCTCGTTGGGGGTTGCGGCCACGAGACAGTTGACACGAATGTGTTGTTGCGCTAGGGCGGAAAATATCAACGCCTGTGTGGTTTGAACTGCTGTGCGCCGCGTAGTGGTACGTATTTCACGAGGTGTTGATGTCCCGCAGTTTTTTAACACGGTGCTTGCGGAACGCAAGCTTGAAAAAGCCACTTGAGTGTGCAGGAATAGAGGTAGTGCTTGGTGCATGGTCCACTCTCACTTGTAAGTGTTGCTCGGNCAACGCCTGTGTGGTTTGAACTGCTGTGCGCCGCGTAGTGGTACGTATTTTCACGAGGTGTTGATGTCCCGCAGTTTTTTAACACGGTGCTTGCGGAACGCAAGCTTGAAAAAGCCACTTGAGTGTGCAGGAATAGAGGTAGTGCTTGGTGCATGGTCCAC